CCAGGCTAGACCTTACCCTTAAACTTCAGATCTATGTAAATAACATCTGGGTATATCCATGCAGCTCTCCATAAGAACCCCAGGCTCAGCATGTCCAGAGCTGAATTTGTTGGCCTTTCCTCAGATCTGTTCCTCTTCTGAATACCCTCAATGAACTGGAACCATCAATCTGCTATCATTTAAGCCTTAAGCTTGGAGTCATCCTGGGCTCCTCTATCTTCCTCACTTTCCATAGCCCAGCAGTTGTTAACTCTGTAGATTCTAGCTCTGAAGTTTATCCCATCCCCCCTGGTTCTATCTTATTTAAGTTTCTCATCAACTCTCTCCTGGGCTATTGAAATAGCATCCCAGCTGGGCTATTATACCTCCTCCAGACTTACTTGCACTCCATCTCCCCACAATCCATGTAATTATCTTTCCTGTTTAAAATATTTCAGTAGCTCCCCATTGTCACGAGATCATGGCTCAGAGTCCTTAGTTTGACCCACACCTCCAGAAATATCTTATTCTTCCATTTTCCTGCACTCAAACACAAACAACCTGTATGGGAGCCAGGTGGGATAGCTTATATTTCCTCTAACGTGCCCGGTTGCTTCACACCTCCGTCTCTGCTCATTCTGTTCCCTCTAACTGGAATGCTCTTCCCGCATTCTAGTGATCAGTCTCACCTCCTGCCCCACAGACCAGCACCAATCATATATGCTTGGTCACGCTCTCTCATCTTTCCAAGATCTCATGTGTAACTCTTTCTTTGAAGCCTTTCTTGACCATGCCTTCCTTCCCCTCCTCCATCTTGATGCCAGGACCACTCTCAGAACTGACCATACATGAATATGGCATCATTATAAAAATTAAAGATAATGTGGATAAACCAAAGGCTCTCTTGGTTCAGCCCTAGTAATTTCATTCCCCTCTTGGTTATCAGTCTGTTGTAGATCATCTGTTTTTTTACTAGCGATTTATCTTGGAAGTATTTCCATGTGAGTGCATGCATATGGACCCATTTCACACAGAGTGTAGTTGTTGCATGGAATTCCCTAGTGTGAGAATATTGTGGTTAACTCTTCTGCTATCGAGGGTATCTTCCTCCCCAATATTTACAGTAACAGTGCCACAATGAATATCACTTCATATGCTTCCTTATGCATAGTTACTAAGTACTTCTTTTCTATAGACTAGAATGTCTGGAGAGAAGATATATATGTTAGAGTCTACATATTCTTTTCATATTTTATATTTGAAAGAATTTTTTTTTGTTTCTCATACATTGATAAGAATTCTTTGTATATTTTGAAGAATAATCATTAATCTGATACACACAGGCATACACACAAATTATGTACATATGTGTGTGCCTGTATTTCTCCAAGTTTGTCTTAAAATTTTGTTTATTGTCTTTGTCATGAGAAGTTTCCATTCACTACTTAGTGAATGACAGCCCATTTATTCTCAGCCCATATTACAATGCCATTTTTTAATAAATGAAATTTCTAACTATATTCATGAGTCTGTGTCTGTAGTTTGTAGTAGATTTTTGTGATTTTTCTTTCTTTCTTTCTTTTAAGATTTTATTTATTTATTTGTCAGAGAGAGAGAGAGAGCATAGGCAGTCAGAGTGGCAGGCAGAGGCAAAGGGAGAAGTAGGCTCCCCGCTGAGCAAGGAGCACAATGCAGGACTGGATCCCAGGACCCAAGGATCATGACCTGAGCTAAAGGCAGCTGCTTAACCAACTGAGCCACCCAGGTGTCCCATGATTTCTTTTCTTATTTCTGGGTGAATACCATACAATTTTGGTCACTATAGCTTTCCTCTATGTTTTGGTATCTTATAAGGACTCCACTGTTTTTTAGAAGTTCTGTCTTCTTCTACTAGTTATTTGACAGATGGGACAGAGTCATATTTGTCTTTGAATTTTAAAGACCTTTCACATAGTTTACGTCCATGTGTGTTGGGTGATGCAGAGGAGAAACCCAGAAGGTACAGGCACTATTGGTGCTACACTTTATATTCTCCAAGTCTCAGAGATCATGGTGAAAATAACACATTTTCTGGTTTTTATTCCACTTCTTATCATAGTTCAGTACTTCAGTGAGTTATTTCATAGGACTCTTATTATTATTTAATTTGTTTTTGAATAAATAATTCATCTATAGCGTACAAAACCCCAAAGGTACAGAAGTGATAAATTAAGTCTCCCCTCAGTTCTTAAGAGGCAATTATATTACCAATTTCTTCTTTAATCTTCCAGAATGGCAGCATACCGTGCACTCTGTTCTGCACCTTGCTATTTTTATTTAGCAATATATCCTGCAGATCATTCTCCATCAGGACATGTGATGCTGTGTCACGAAATGGCTGTGCTGTGTTTTATTTAAACAGGAAGGCAATTAAAGGTGTTTTAGTAACTACTCTTTATATGTATAATAGTCTCAAATATCTAGAATAAAAGTTCTGCACATGAAATTAGTGGGTCAGAGGGCATTTGAATTTTCAGCTTTGATTTATATTATCAAATTGCTCTCCAAGAATGTTTTAGAAACTTCATGAATGAAGACCTTAATGGCACTTGGCCACTGAGGCTTCTGACTTGCTCAGACATGTACTGAGTACCAGGGGGACACTACAGAGGGGCTAGCTGGGTGTCTGACAGTGAGTGGAATGTGTGTGTGTGTGTGTGTGTGTGTGTGTGTATGTGATGTACACATGGTAAGAAGCTCAAAGAAAAACCATCAGTCAATTAATTAGGCTCCTCTTTAAAGCTCTAATAATGAGGGCAAGCATTAGTGACTTGAATAAAGCTTTGCCTTTATTATTCATTAGAAACTGGCAGTAAATAATAGGTTTGAATTTCACAGTCCTCATGCTGCTAATCAAAGCACAAAATCTTAAGATAATAAATTATTACCCCTCACAACAGGAGCATAAAGGGAATTTGGTTTTATGAATTGCTAACTGGGACACTAGCTAGCCTCTCTCTGGGTCTTGGGCTGATTCAGAGGGAAGGAGACTGGTGATTGCATCTTGAAACTAGAGCACGCAGATTGAAGAGGGCACAATTTCCTCAGACTCACAATGTTTTACCTACCTGGAGTCAGGGGGATAAGTGGCCTGACCCAGATTAAACAGCCCCTCATTACTCTTCTTGGTAATGGTTCCTGATGTTCAGCTAGAAAGAGTTTTTTCTAGGGGGCTTTCCAGTGGGCAGGAAGTTGTGCCTTGTCTTCTTAGTGAGTTGCTGCTGGCTTCAGATTGGCTATCTTCCTCTCCCCACCCTTCTCATTTCCATTTCATAGATCGCATTTCTCTCCCTTCTTTCCACTCCTGCCCTTACTAATGTTCTGAGAGGATCTTCTCTTTCCCTGGTGTGTCTTTCTACACAACACACACACACACACACACACACACACACACACACCCCTCAAGTTCTCATCTCTTCCTTTAACATGATAAGGGCAGAGACAAGATGAATCCCTATCCTTTGACTTTCCTTTTTCTTCTCCTCCAGAACTCCCTCCCTCTGTTTTTGAAGCTCTTCATGATTTCTGGTCACCTGCAAGTGTGAAAGGAGGAGGCTGTCCCACTCTGCTTGACTTAACTCTCCTATCTCTGGCTGCCATGTTCCCCAAGCCCAATGGTGCTCTCTTTCGTTCCTTCAGTGGCTTGGCGTGCCAGCCCCCCGGCTCTTCCCGGGCCATAGGACACTTTATCTGGCATTTCAAGTATAAAGGCTTCAAACTGCCAATTGCCATGGGCAGAGAAAATGTCTTTAAATAAAGCATTGGCCAACACAATCATACTTTATAGCAAAAGTTTATTAGGATTAAGTCATGTTAGAAAACTTCATGCTTTGCCATTTGCCATATTCACCTGGAATGACCATATTATACTTAACCGAGTATAAAACAAGTTGTGCCCTGTACTATTTGGAAAGTAAGAAAATCGATGTACATAGCAGTGTGCCTGACACCACCATGGTTAATAGCCTAACAATAGGTTAGAAAAGCGTATGTTACCTCTGAGGTCTGGGCCTGAGGAAGACATCATTCCCTACCTCCTTCAGAAGTAGACCAATCATAGCCTGGGCACCGAACACTGGAGCCTGCTTTTTTGGTCTCTAATATTAACATCTGTATTTTAAGAGAAGCTAGGCTTGAGGTATCTTTATGGCTTACAAGGCACAGGTCATGCAGCTGAATTAAAAGCTATTGTGTTGGTCTGTCTGTCATGGGCCATGAGCCACCTTTGGGAAGAGGAGTCCTGATGCTGTGTCCTTGACTCCTCAGTGGTCTACACGTCATGAGCTCTTCTCATCTAGCTTCTGCTTCTGCTCATCAGCTGTGAGAGCTGGAATTGGAGGACAGGGCGGGACTCCTGCACTGGCTCCTGTCATGTGGTGACCAACCTCTACTACAGAATCTCATTACTCAGCATGCACAGGGGAGCTGCCACAGGGCCAAGAAGTGATTCAGATGCAAGCAGGGACAGGAAGGCTCATTCTTCAGACAAATTATAATATGGGAAAAAGAAACAACTTTCTCTGGAAGGGGTCCTATCAAGGTGGAGAGCAGTTGTAACCAACCCCTTCCTTCAATAGGAGAAGCGGCTTGAAAAGAACGTCAAGGAGAACAGTGGGTCACCACCCAGCATGGGTTCTGTGAGGCCAACAACAATGGTATCAATCCCTTGCATGGGCTTTGCAAATAGCCTTGAAGTCATTAAGAGCAAGTGGGAGTCTAGGTCTTTGTAATACAAAAATTTCATTTACTAAATAGCTGGGCATTTCCTTCAGCTTAGGAGCCCACATGTTTATACTCAGAATCTTTTTCCTGATTTCTAAACTCTCCCTAACGAAGGGAATAAAATCCAAATTCAGAGTGAAGGGCCTGGAGAGCTACAGACAGAAAAGAAACACCTGCGGCCCCAGCACCTCTGTTCTACCCTTGCAGCAGCTAGACTCCTGACTTGCTCCCTTTCTCACTCTTCCCACCCCAGGCCCCACCCAATTCACTAATAAAAATGGCTGCTGTCAAAAAACTTAAATTCAGTTGCATAATACAGACAGATAATAATAAATTCTGACTTCTTCAGGCACTGGAGGATGTTTGTGACAAAGTTTGGATTTTCTTACTGCATGGCCCAGCCTCTTGGCCACGTGGTCTCCCCAGCTTGGCTCATAGTCCTCTGTGAGGCCCATATGATTTGGGATTACATCTGCACTGGCCACCGTTAGTTCAGCTGGGACTGACCTGGGGTCTGCTCAAGCTTGAGTTCGTAGCCTCCTAGGCCGAGGTCCCCCTCGTAAATGTTGTCCTTGCTCGGAGTCTGCGGGGAAGCTTTCTGGTTTACCCCCAGGCCCGCAGGAGGGCTGCAGGGCGAGGTGGCTTGCTCCTGGTAACTCATGGCCAGTTCGTCCTGATTCACAATGCATTCCACATCTTCCTCTTTGAGCTGTTCCTGGAATTTGGGAAGAGAGAAAAGTCACTTCACGATGAGGAAAACAAGAGCTGTCCTATACTGTAAGAATGGAGGGTGCTTGTTTTCCCTTCTTAATGGCCCTATCTTGCCATGGCTGAGGTTCCGCGGCAGCGGGCACAGCCTTTCTGTGGCTGGGGGTGTGGTGGAGCATTTCCCATGGAAGACCTGGCCCAGGGACATAGCCATGTGAGGCCTCCAGGCCTGATGTGAAAGCTGGTAGAGAGCACCTGCTCACTGAGTGCCTCCTTGGGTTAAGGGAAATAAAATAAAATTTGGTGGATTTCTTGAACTGGTACCTAGCCAGGTTGAGAGGAGGTAGGATTTAGAGGAGGCACCTTAGTGCACAGCATGATTCTCAGCATTGGTTTTGTAACACTTGTGCCCATCACTAAATTCTCAAAACACAGTTACTGTTGTATTTTATTTGAGAAGTGTGTCCTCACGGCATGTTTCCTGGGATGAGTGTCACAAAGCTGAACCTGGTTGGAAGTCATGATAGCAGATAATAGCAGAAACGAACTAGATCTGGCCAACATACCTCTCCTCAGACAGAGCTTTCCTTGAAGGAAAGAATTAAGATCTCCAATCTTCTTTCACTGGCTTCGGGAAGACCATAAAAAATTACTCACAGAAGGATCCCTGGGTAGGTGACCGAGGTCAGTGGTTTCCACCATTAGGCTGTACCAGAATCACTTGGAAGGTTCAGTGAAACACAGATGCTGGGCCCCAAGCTCAGAGTTCTGAGGTGAGGGTGGGGGATGGGGAGCTGATACTTCATATTTCTAGCAAGTTTCCAAGTGATGCCGCAGCTGCTGGTCCAGAAACACACTTTGGAGAACCACTGCCTTAGGCTGTTGTGTTCAGAGCACATCTGAGATGCATTTTTCTCTGTTTATGCAAGGGGGTGGGCAGCTGGACAACCTCCAAGGGTGCCCCAAACTCCAAGATTTTGCTCCTCTCCAATTCCTGACCCTGGTTTTTTGCTAATGATTCTAATCCACTCCCTTGAGCTATAAAGCACAGGCCTAATACTTAAAACCTCAAACCACAGCAGTTTCTGGGGACATATTATTTCTTTTACATTTTCTCTATTCATTTTATGGTTAAAAATATTGGTAACAATAAAAAACTGCATTTTTAAAAGAATGAGCCCACATCAGCAGCATCTGAAAAGAAAAGAGAAATACCTTTTGGTGTGGTGAATTTTAAAATGCTTCCTCCTCAGGCTGGGGACTAATAGCCCTGAGGTTCTTGGGCTCATCAGTAGGCACCAAGCCTGTCCCGCTCAGCGGAGATACTCACCCCGTAGGCCTGAGGACTGGTGAGCAGCCTGGAAATCGGACCACACCATTCAGGTAACGTTGTGGTCAGAGGAGGACCCGCGTGGGTTAAAATTGGTTTCAGATATCTGCAAGGCCTGTTAAGGAATACTTGCCAAAAGGAAGTTAGAATTTCGCTTTTCACACAGCACAAAGCTTCGCATGCAGCGAAAGAGACAGCTCTGTTCCCCTTTAAATCCCCTACTCCCTCATTCAGGAGGCAATTTGGCCTGCCAGAATTGCTGTTTATAATCTTTGCTCCACACACTTTTCCAGCCCTCCCGGTAGCCTTTAATCAAAAAGAAATGGGGACTGGGCCAGCCGACACCAGAGAGAGGGGTAAATGTTCCTCTTCTCCTCCCCTCCCTCCCTGAATGTCTCATCTGTTTGAGAGTGCATTTCTTAAGAATTATCTTAAACAATAGCAGAAAGGATTGTGTTTTCTTAAAACTGCACACATAGCTTAAAGACACCAGTAATTTTCACAAAGAAGCAAGAGATATTTCATAAAATGTTCAGTCATTTTAGAACTGGGTAGTGAACATAGATTGTTTTCCAAAATGGTTTATTTTCACTATTCAACGCGGTCGCTTTATACTTCATACATCAACGTGTCTGTATACAAAAAGTACGTAAATCAGCTGGTGCCAGGTTCATTCTATTGTCTAGCACCTGTCTTTCTTATCTCTCCATTCCCAAGTGCTCTAACAACTTAAGAGAAAACCCTGTTAATCTAAAGCTGTTATGCTTCCCTCCCATCTAGCAATATTGAACCCCCTAGAGGCTGCCTTGGGTTGTCTTATTATTTCTTTCTTTTTTTTCTCAAAAGAAAGTAGTGGAATTATTTCACCATTCCATCAGACACAACTTTTAAGCCTTATATTATTTCCTGGGCTGGAGACTACTTCACCTCATCAACTTTCTGAAAAGCTATAATAAATAGGGAAAGGGAAAAAATGGAAAGCAGTTAACATTGGTCGGCTCGTGAAGATCCGAGGTCACCCCCGGGCACTGAGGACGCGAGGAGATCTTGGAGATGGCTCTACTGGAGCACATGGAGAGCTGGACACGGCTCTGTTGTTCCTGGGATAACCCCGAGCATGGGAGGACAGAGGGAAGGTGCAGGCCCCGAGAGCCAGGAATCTCGTTGCCTCTGGCCTCAAATCCTTCACCACCGAAGTGGTAATAAAGCAGGGAATGCTCCTGAACATAGCCCAGTTATGATGCAATCTAGAGACTGAAAAGATGCCCAAGACAGTCTATAACTCCAGCCACAAATGGAAAACTTGACAATTCCTTTAGATGGGGGGCTGTCGTGCCCAGCAAAGAACCAGAGAAGGTACTAAAGTTGAGAGCTTGGCCTTCCCTGTAACATCTTTGGAGCGTATGTATCTATGACTCCGGAAGCCCTGTGATGGTCTTCCATTAATTTTCATTACAAACTGTTATTTCCTTCATTTTACGGATGGAGGAATTGAGGCCTAGAGATAGAATGATTTTAAATAATCCAAAGGCTCCTGTTGCCATTTGAACCCACCACCAACATCACTAGCAAAAGATAAATTATCAGGGCAGAATCATGCATGCGACCAGCTGGTTCTCTGGAGAGAAAAGCTTGCAGACCTCGTCCGTGCTGACGAGAAGCAGACCCTCTCACGCAGGGGCTCATGAGGACATATGCTCTAATTAGGGTTTATGGTGTGTGTGGGTCAATGGAAAAAAACTATTCCTGGGAGGTGAGGTGGGTGATATACATGTACAACTGGTGTGTGAACCAAGGAAAATCAGCCAATTTTGTTTCAAGATGGAGATGTGACAGTAGGTAAGCTACATTTCTAGAGACATCATATTAAAAAAAAAAATGAAGAAGTTCTTCAAGGCTCTAATTGTTTCAGAGAGAGGCCTGGGCAACTTCCACTGTTTGAGGTTCTCAGAATATTGCCATATTAAAATGCCAAAATACCACAGTAATGCTACAAAGGTAAAGCGCAAATTTAGAATTGTGTAAGGAACATATTTTTCTTTTAATCCCGACGAGGTATCTCTTTGACTCTGTGTGTAATGTTATCAGAGCTAACACTTAACAAGGAAATGTGTAGCTTTTTATGAATGTGGGGCCTGGACCAAATGGGGTACCATGGGCCTCTTCTGGACAGGTTTTTGACTTGGAACGCCTTGGTCTAACTGGCAACTCTGCCCTTTTTCTGACAGCATGACCTGTGGCCTTGCGCCTCTGAGCTTCAAGTATTGCTGTGAATGTTGATGGGAAATAACATTATTTAAAAATGGTTTTAAACTCTATGTTCTATTCAAATGCTATTTATTTATTTTAAAGATTTATTCTCTAAGCAATACTTCTGAGAAATTGGTGTCTTAATCGTTGTTTGGATGATAACAGGGAAATGAGACCGAGGGTAGGGATGAGGAAATGGCACCCTGGGCATTTGGTGTGGCCTTGGGACTCACAGGCTAGGTCGCAGGTGGGAAATTGAAGGCACCTACACCAAAAGTAGTATTTGGGTTAAAACTTGTTGTATGGGCAGCTAGCATGAAGTAGTAGGTGAGAGGTGGGCAGACTTTATTGATGTAGGACTCTTCTAGAAAACTCACGGTGCCATTTTGGCTGCACTGGTGTCTCAGTTGCTGTGACACAAAGGCCTGAGGCATACTCCGTGTGGCGTAAGTGGGATTTGCCAAGTGCCACGAAGAGCCATGGCAGATGTGGCACAGAATCTATGCCGAATTTCTTGGTTTGCCCAGTGCTTGCCATATATTATGTACTCAGTGGATGTTTTTGAATTTCTGGTATAGAAAATATGAATGAGGGAAGTAGATTCTGAGTAACTTGACAAGAAAAGACAAAGGGGATAGATTATAGCCAACTAATAAGATTTTTCTGAGGATAAATGGCTAAGAAAGGTTGAGTTGAATATTGATCTCTTGGGCCTAAGTTATTAGACTGAGGGGACCATGAAAAGAGTGGGAATGGCATGAAATAAAGTGGTTAAAAAAATAATCTTGTGTTTTACACATTCATTTGTTCCTTCATAATCATGTTTTGGTTTTTGTTTTATATTCCAAACTAATGAGGCATCTGCATGAGGAAATGGACAATTGCATTTAGAATGGAAAGCTCTCTTGTTTCCAGACTGTGGTCTCCTTGAGAAGATCCATTCACCTGGGTATAATGTTTGGCACATTTTAGATGTTCAAGAAATAGTTGCTGAATTAAGGAAGACAATAGACTCAGAGAGAGGAAAAGAATTGCTCACTGGAACCCAGCCAGATAGTTAATGGCAGAGCTGGGTCTGGGATCAAGGACGTTTTCATCACATGGGGCCTCTTTCTTCTGATACAGGGATACTGAGTAACAAACAGGTCTTGTCTAATTGGACATCTGATTTGGAATTGAGGAATCAGTGATTTTCAGAGTCCTTTATTGCTGAGCAATGTCTGGAAAGTGGCCAGATCTCCAGGGTTACCTAAATTATTAAAGAGTAAGAAAACTCATTTGATGTACAAAAAACAAAACAAAACAAAACAAAAAACCAAAAACCAAAACAAACAAAAAAACCCCAACTGCTGATTTTGCAAAATGTGTTATTTTTTTCATCAGGTTCTAGTATATGTTTAGGGAGGGAGAGTCCCCATTGGGTATTTTTGGTGCAGCTAGTTTTGCTTCTCTAATAAGCTAGAAATGTATCGAGATGAAATGTGAAGCTCTGGGGGAAGAAAAAAAACAATGACTTTTTCTCATCCAAAGGGCATAGATTTGGGAATAGCAGTTTGGTTCAGGAGATGTAAGTAAAAGCTAGAACTCTACTCAGGGTTTAACATGCATGCAATAAGGAAGACAATTAACAGATGCCATTTTCTTCTTTGGCCTGAGTTATCAGAAGGTCCAGAGTTAAATTTAGTGCTTAACTGAACTAACTTCCAAAACTCCTGGTTATGTTGATTTCTTCCTCTCTTTTGTTTGTTAGTTTTTGTTTTAATTGTTTTAAATCATGTTTTACCCATTGTAAGTTGCCAAAACTGATGAGTACACAGCTTGCTCACATGACATAGACTGGAGAGATGCAAAAACCCCAAGCAAAGATCTAGCTCGACAAATGAATGTCTGCCCCTTCAAGGGGACTAAGCCCCATTGCCCCTACCATGGGCTGAACTGTTTGGATTCTTCCCCAATTCATATGTTGAAGCCCTAACCTCCAATGTGATTGTATTTTGGTGGGGGGGGGATACTTTGGGAGGTAATTAGGGTTAGATGAGGTCATGGAGGGGGTCCCATGATGGGATTACTGCCCTTATAGGAAGAGATACCAGAGTTTGTTTGCTCTCTCTCCACATGTCTACAAAGAAGTCAAGTGAGCATACAGGGAGATGAACCCTCTTCAAGCCCAGAGGAGAGTTCTCACCAGAACCCAGTCATATCAGCACCCTGATCTCAGACTTCCAGCCTCTGGAACTGGGAGGAAATCAACATCTGTTGTGTAAACCACCTGGTCTATGCTATGTTGTTATGGTAGCTTGGGCAGATGAACACACGCCCTCACTCTGGCCCTCTTTAAAAATCTCTGTGAGCCCTAAAGAGCTATGTTCTTTTTCTTCTTCTTCTTTCTTTCTTTCCTTTTTTTTTTTTTAAAGATTTTATTTACTTATTTGACAGAGAGAGAGAGAGAGAGAGAGAGCGCAAGTAGGTAAAGTGGCAGGGAGAGGGAGAAGCAGGCTCTCCACTGAGCAGGGATTCTGATGAGGGACTTGATCCTGGGACCCTGGAATCATGATCTCAGCTGAAGGCAGCTGCTTAACCCACTGAGCCACCCAGGTGCCCCTGAAGAGCTATGTTCTATTTTGGCTTTTCTAAACTCACTTCGTCATGAAGATCATCTTGGACACTTATTAAAAATTCAGATTTCCAAGTCCTCCGCTGGAGTCCTCCTCTGATTTGGCAGGTCTAGGAAGTGGCCTGTGACTCTGTCTTTTACAGAGTCTGTATTTTCAGCCCCCCAGGTGACTGGTGATTAGGCAAGGATGGAACATGATGCTCTCTCTCTGGAGTGGTGCCCAAGACAGGAGATTAAAAAAT